AAGTCTCATCTCAAGTCTTCTTATTGGCATTTTATTGAAACTTGGGAAATAAAAGTGCCATACAGTACTATTGTAGTAGATTCTTCAATTATAATTCAAGAAGAGGTACAACAGCAGGGGTCCACAAAATTTTGTGTTTTGAATTTGAACTATTCAGAATTCTAAACACCCCATTTAAAGGTCAAAATACTTCCAAAATCTGTGGAGTCCTTGGTGTCCTCTGAGCTTGGTTGTTTTCTTGCAGACATTTCTTTACCCAACCCGGCAACATCTTCAGCGCTAGAAGGGAGTGGGGTTTGCTCTCTGTATCCTACTACCTAGTCAGGTAACCAAACATCTGCAAGAAAATAACCAAGCTGAGAGAACCCCAAGGACTCACAGTTCAACCCTGAGCTACATATACTCTCTTGTACTTCCAAAATCATCAAAACAGCCCATTCCGCACAAGGAACAGATGTTATGGACTTTCCAATGTTAAAATCAAGTGTTTTGAATTTGAAATGGCATGAATTTGAAAGATTTATATGCCCCTACTTTAGGTTTGTGAGGCTTAGAATTTTGCCTCTGCCTATTGCCCTGTTTTTCAGAAAGACTGAAAGAGATGTAGAGGGTAATGCGATGGGGGGTTAACGAGCAACCTAGTCCCCTTACTGAACGGAGGTCCTGTTATTCTTTTCAATGGGAAAATTGATTACTTGAAAAATATCCACTTCAGTAAAAATTAAATCTTTTTTTTTTCCAGTATGTTCTTTTATTTGTAAGAGTATTAATATCTTTCCACTTAAAAAAAAGTTGCCTATGGCAGCTAACAATACAGCATTAAAGGAAAATAAACACTATTATTAGAATTAGAAACCCTTTAGAGTTTACTGCAAGAATTACTAATTATTTAAAACATTTAAATATAAAAATAAGATAGTGTTAGGAGCAATTGTTAGGGGTAAAATCAAATAATTCATTAATTATATAGCTCCAGGTAGGAGGAATGAAAATGATAATATGAAAAAGCACCTGATATGTATAATGTAGCAAACAAATCCTACTTTGGGGTTTGTTTTTAACAAAGAAAAGCAGATTCAAAATTTGCTAAATAAATAAAATATATATATATATACAAATAAAAATAAAAAGTGAACCAAAAAAAGCACACATCCACACTGCAACAGCCCAACTGATCAAGTTAAATAAATACCACTTGATTCCAGGATCAGTCATAAGAAGGCTGCAACTGCCCCAAAGCAATTTCATCCAGAAGTGGAAGGTCAACAAAGCAGGAGGTGAGATAAATTTCCTCAGAGGCTGGGAGCTTAAGTGCTTAAACAATGCCACGCGTCCTGTCACATATGACATACCAGAAATTCAGCTGAAATTCTGTTCAATTAATATGCTTTAAACTTTTGCTTGGGAAAATATTTATGTTAAACAAACATTGTCCAAAGGAAATGTGAAAAGAACCCTCCTCCAGCTAGAAATGAATAATAACTGTAGCAAGCTTGAGTGGGATGAATTGGTTCATTTTATGAGACGGCCACAACTCAATTACAATGAATCAAATTTCATCCAAAGCTTTCAAATTCTGCCCTTGACATTCAAGTTAGGCTCTAAACATACTTCTACCAGTCAGTGTAAACAATATTGAACCAGATGGCTCAGTGGTTTCACTCAGTCTAAAGCAATGTTTCTCAAACTTGGCAACTTTAAGACATGTGGACTTCAACTCCCAGAATTCCCCAGAATTGCTGGCTGGGGGAATTCTGGGAGTTGAAGTCCACATGTCTTAAAGTTGCCAAGTTTGAGAAACACTGGTCTAAAGCAACTTCCTAGGTTCCACATATCAGTATCATGAAATAGCAGAATATTCTCCAGTGGAGATTCACTATCTGGTATACTTGGATAGATTAACAAGTTACCAAGTATCCAACTTAGTTGGAGGTCTTGGGAGAGGAATAACCATCATAAATAGCAGGTTCTGCCTCCACTATGTGCTTATAATAGGATCTACATGCCCAAAGAGCTTTCTAAAGATGTTATAATGCAGATGGATTTTTTCCTCAGTATTATTCTGTTATGGTCATTTTCTTTTCTTTTTTTAGCTTAATGAAGAAAATGCAAGGGTGATGAAGCCTTCCAGAGAAAGTTTGCCTCCATGGAAAAGAGCTACCACATACAGCAGTTTTCAGTCTAGGCCCTCTAGACTGACTGGCATGATCGCAGGAAAGGACTCTTTTTAAAAAATTTTATTTATTTATTTAAATTTACATTTATTGGCCACCCAACTCCAGTGGACTCTTGTTTAAGGAGCTTCCTAGGGGTGATACCCAGACACCCACATGACTTCTTCCTCTTCTAATTCAGATTATTGCATAGCCCTAATTAGTATGCAGGACTTGTACTTTCAACCTGCCTCTGAGTCCAAAAAACAAATTTTCATCAGCCTGATGTCTGGAAAAAGTCTCCTAAGAATCTGCTTTTCCAGTACAGTTTGTTAAGACATAATGAAGTAGGTTTTAAACTCTCTCATTAAACATGGTAACAAATCTCAGTTTACACAATACACACTTTAAATTGGCAGATTGTCATGCCTCAAAGGGGACTTTGCCAGGTGTTGTGCCACAGATGATGTCACTGGGGAAAGGTAAGTTCCTGTTTGTTTGGAGAGGATATTGTACTCAGGAGCTAGTAGCCACGCTATTTTAAATGTCAGCTTCTGTAACCTTACCAGTTTAGTTCATTTTAGTTTTGGTGTTTCGGAATCACTTCTCCCCATAAAGTTAAAGTAGGCAAAATAATGTAGTCATAAAAATAATCATACTTTAAAACAATAAAAGTGCACAAACTGCTACTAAAGGCAGAGACATTAAAACTAAGATGTCAGCAGCAATTAAAAATAACTAAATACTGGTCCTAGTGAAAAGTATGAAAATATAACTGAAGCTTAAGCAGATACAGATCAGGCCAATTCTTTAGATGGGACATCTTTACGAAAGCAACGTAATATAAGAGTGAGCTACTACAACAAAGGTGCAATAGAGTGACAGAACTGTGTGGTAGGACAATTGAACCCAACCCCCTGTTCAATGCAAAAGTCTAATGATTAGGTGGCTGCCCAGATTCTGTTTGAAAATGTCAGCAGCCTCTGGGAATGGAAGGGAGTCAAAACCAGCAAGATGATGGGTGCAGTTTTATGATGTCAGCCCGCCCCTTTTGTATGTGCATCAATGCATGCATATACAAAGGAGATGGGGCTTGTATCGCAGCACTCCTTCTGCCATCTTGCCCATTTTGACTCCATCCTGCAGATGTATCCAGAGCAGGGAGAACTTACCAGCTCTGTTAGTCACTGGTTCCACTGTTAAATTACTCTTACTGTTAAGAAGTGTTTCTTAACATACAATTGGAATTGGCTTTCCTGTAACTTGAGACCATTTTTCCATGTCTTCTAGGATGATACCAAACAGGTTTTGACTTTCTTCTAAGTGACATCCCTTCAGACACCTCAAAAGAGGTCTTACAACTTCCTCCATTGTTTCCTCTCAAAGCTAAACATCCCATTTCTTCAGTCTCTCCTCCTAAAACCAGGTTTCCAGCCCCCTGATCACTTGAACTTAAACTTAACTTAAACATGCAATGCCCCAAACCAAACATAGTAACTAGAACTACAACAGTTCTCAAGGTGAGGCTGGTCAATGCAGGC